TGTTCCCGGTAATGTCTAGAAGACATTTTGAAACAAAGAGCTAACAGTTAAGTAATGACACTAAAATATTATAAAGGCTCCATTCATTATTTAATTTTTTGGACGGGAGAGTTTGTAAGATTTCCTGCAACTTAATTTTCAGGGTTAGTAGCTACAACTCTTAGTAGCAATTTTATGTTTAAAATTATTTCACTTAATGCTCGAGGGTTAAGAAACAATACTAAAAGAAAGGCAACTTTCCTATATCTTACAAATTTTAAAGCTGATTTCTGTTTTATTCAAGAAACTCATTCCACTACAAATGATACCAAATTCTGGAAAAGTCAATGGGGGACGAGTTATGGCTGGCACATGGCACTACTCAATCAGCAGGAGTGGCAATATTACGAAACAACTTCAATGGAGATGTTTTATGCTCACTCTTAGATACATATGGACATTTTGTTTTATTAGCTGTATCAATAAATGAAGATTTTTTTTTTGTTAGGTTCTATCTATGGGTATAATACCAAAGCAGAAAATACGCAACTTTATGACAGATTAAGTAACGGGGTGAATTATCTATGTGACAAGTATCATAATATGAATATTATTATTGGTGGGGACGTCAATTCAACTCTTGATGATTCATCAGACAGATTTCCTCCAAAGGCTGATATAAATACAAACACAGCTCTTAAAGACTTTATATCAACCTTTGGCCTGATTGATGTATGGAGACAAAAAAATAGCTCAAAAATTGAATTTACATGGCAAAACAAGTCGGGCTCCTTTCAATCAAGAATTGACTTTTGGTTGATATCTGATTTAATAACAGATGAAATTAAGTCGGATATTCTACCAGCTCCTTTATCAGATCACAAGCTAATTTTGATTGAAAAAACTAAATTAAATAAGTACAGAAAAAATAAAATTACAGCTTACTGGAAAGTCAATTAGTCACTGTTAGAAGATAAAACAGTAGAAGAAAATATTAAACAAACAATTATTAAGTATTGGAATACAGCTTGTAGCCAGAAGGAATTTAGTAAAAACTGGGAACTCCTCACATATGAACTTCAGAAAATTTTTATGAAAACTGGAGCTGAATTTGCTAAAAAAAAAAAAAGGAGGAAAATAGAATCAGAAATAATAAAAGAAATTATCTCTTTAAATAATGTTCTGCCAGAAAATATATCTGAAGAACAAAAGATTAGATTAAACCATTTCCAGTTGAACCTGGACAATATTTACACATCTAAAGCTAAAGGAGCCTACGTCAGGTCGAGACAGAAATGGTTAGAAGAAGGAGAAAAAAACTCTTCTTATTTTTTTAGGTTAGAAAAACAGCACCAAAAGTCTAACAGTATTATGAAACTTCAAATTAATAACAGTATAACTGAAGATCCTGTTCAAATCTCTTCTTATTGTGAAACTTTTTTCAAAGAGTTGTATCAGTCACGGTGTTCTGATGAAACTATTACACTATTTATTAACGCGATGAATAATATGCATCAAATCAGTAAAATTAATAAAGACCATTGTGATTCTCTGATCACTCTTGAAGATATTCAAAAGTCTATCAATAAATTAAAATTAAATAAATCTCCAGGGACAGATGGTCTCAATGCAGAATTCTATAAAAAGTTTTCAGAGCAATTGTCGCCATTTTTACTTCAAGTTTATCTTGAAAGTTTGGACTCTGGATCACTTCCACCTACAATGACCCAACGCCTAATTACACTGATTCCTAAACCACAAAAAGACAAGCTTCTTCTAGATAATTGGCGACCAATTACATTACTACAAAATGATTATAAAATTATTGCAGGTTGCATTGCTACAAAAATTAAGAATACTCTTGAAGAAGTGATTGATGAAACTCAATCTGGATTCATTCCGGGTAGACATATAACTAACAATATTAGACTTATAATGGATTTGCTAGATTATTCAGATTTAATTCATATTATTTCTGGATTTTTTTAAAGCCTTTGACACAGTGGAGCATACATTTTTGTTTAAGGCATTAGAGGTATTTGGATACGGACAAATCTTCATTAAAAGCTGTCAAATGTTATATAGGAATTGCAATGCGTCTATAAAATTGTCACATGGCTGCTCTAAAAGATTTGATTTGAAAAGAGGTCTCAGGCCAGGATGTCCAGTATCTCCATACTTATTTATTCTGGCCATGCAAATTCTTTCTATCAAAATCAAAGAAAAAATAACAGGGATTAATGTTGCAAACAAAAATATTGTAATCTCTCAACTTGCTGATGACACTGCACTTTTCTTAAAGAATAAGTGCGAAATAAAAAAATCTATTGAAATTATCAACTCATTTTCCGAAGCTTCCGGTTTAACTCTAAATCTAAATAAATGTGAAATACTTTCCATTAAATCTCAATTAAAAGGCACATTTTTCAACATTCCTATAAAAGATAAAGTTAAATATCTTGGAATCACAATAATTAAAGATCAAAATATAAGATCAACAGAAAACTTTAACCCTATTATTAAACTGGTTAACAAAGATTTAATCTGTGGCTACAGTGAGATCTCTCTCTCTTAGGACGTTCATTATTGGTCAAAGCTGAAGGAATATCTAGACTCGTTTACCCAGCCTTTGCTCTTGACGTTCCAAAACAAGTCATTACTAACATTAATAAAATAATTTTTAACTTCATATGGAAAAAAAAAGTCATCTCATTAAGAAAAGTAGTTTAATAAATAAAGTTGAAAAAGGTGGAATTGAAGCCCTTGACTTCATATCTTTAAATAATTCATTCAAAATTAAATATTTAAAAAATCTCTATATGGAATGCTATTCCAATTTACAACTTCAATAAAATTGGAGGTTTACCTTTCTTCTTAGATGCAATTACAGTATTCCCAAAATACCCTTAAAATTATCTACGTTTCATAAACAAATGCTGTTAAGCTGGACACTTTTGTACAAACACAATTTCTCTCCTCATAAATATTATATATGGAATAATGAAGACATTAAATACAAAAATAAGACAATATTCTATAAAAATGGTTTGATAAGGGAAATTTCTTGTAAGCCAGTCACTAAATCCAGACGGCCATTTATTGTCTTATTCTGACTTTATGTAACTTTTCCAATTTCCTGTTACTCCTAAAGAATATGCAGTGGTATTTGATGCAATCCCTAACTCAGTGCTTCTCAATTATTTTCCGTTACGCCCCCCCTAGCCAGAAGAAAACTATTCGCGCCCCCCATTCCCCACCGTGACTATCCATCTCTGCATAACATTTTTTCCTTATTAACATTTTTTTCGCTGAAAAAACTCTAGCGGCTTATCGGCGTGATTGGGATGTAACGTATTTAAGTGACGCGCTAATTTATTTGGCTTCATGCTGTCCGCTGCGAGCATTTTTAGACACAGCAAACACACCGGTCTTTCCTCTTCTCCAACTGTAGTCACAGTGAAGCCAAGCGCTAAATACGCTTCGTCGTATTTCCTCTTCTTAGCTTTCGGTTGACTTTCTGTTGTCTCATTATCTTTGTCTCTCTCCGCTTTTCTTTTCATCCCTGTGAAAAACTTTTTCATGTTGGGGGTTGTTGAATAACGGAGGCCAGAGACAGAACGCAGTCGGAGCTTTTTGTTGACTTAACACTGCTAACCAAGGCAAACCTGTTGTAAGTCATGAAATGTTGCACTGTCGCAAACGTGACAGAAGTAACAATGAGAGCGCCACTGCTGCCTACTGTGCGCAATTACACTTTATACTTTATACCAAAAAAAAGCCTGTTCCCCAGGTATCGCACCGCGCCCCCCCAGGTATCGGGGGCGCGCCCCCCCAGGTATCGGGGGCGCCCCCCCCCCAGGTATAATACCGCGCCCCCCCAGGTATCGGGGGCGCGCCCCCCAGGTATAATACCGCGCCCCACCAGGTATCGGGGGCGCGCCCCCCAGGTATCGGGGGCGCGCCCCCCAGGTATAATACCGCGCCCCACCAGGTATCGGGGGCGCGCCCCCCCAGGTATCGGGGGCGCGCCCCCCAGGTATAATACCGCGCCCCACCAGGTATCGGGGGCGCGCCCCACTATTTGAGAAGCACTGCCCTAGTGGGTCATTAAAGCTTTTATCATCTTCACCTCCAGGTCAAACTAACTCTATACCAAATTTTGATCCAAATTCCATTTATATTGACTATGATTGTCCTTTTATAAGTAAGAAAGCAAACAACAAAATGTTAAGAAATATTCTATTAAGAGATATGGTTTTTTCACCATCTTGTGTATTTTATTGGTCCAGAATTTTCGAAAATATAAATTGGAAATGGACTTGGTTGCTCCCTAAAAATACTTAATAAATAATAAAATAAAATAAATTTCTTATAAAATAATTCAGTGTGTATCCCAGTAAAACATTTTTGATAAAAAGATATAAATGGGATTTGGATCCTATGTGTACTTTCTGTAAAAATAATGAAGAAACTCTTGTTCATCTTTTTTGGGATTTTAATTACACCAAAATTCTGGAGAGATATGACAAATTATTTTCATCAAAAAAATGTAAATATTACTTTTACAGCTAAGGATAAACTGTTTGGGATGGACAAATGTAAACTTGTTAAAACAAAATTATTATACGTTGTTAATTTTTTTATTATTTACAGTAAATATCATATTCATACCTCCAAATATTCAGAGCACAAACCTAACCTTAAGATTTTATTATCCTCTATTAATATTTATATAGAATCTTTAAAAATTAGCTCAAATGCCAAAGCCATTCAAATCTTAGATGCCCTTAAGGAAATAAAACCCTGGAGCAGCGATTCGATGTCAGTATTGTAAAACAATTGTTCTATGTTCTATAAAGCCCTTTATTGTTGTAAATGTATCTGTTTGTAATTAAGAGTGTTATATGTTGTTTATGTTTGTTCTGTTTTTGCAATGAAAATAAAAACGATCTGGAGACGCAACTGCTGCTGCTCATCTTCACGGGTTGACGAGCAGCAGCAGTTGCGTCCTTCTGGCAGGATTTGACCTCTGACCCCGCTCCTATTCCCGCCCACCTGGCGACCTCAGCAGTGTGAGCGTTATGCGCATGCGCCGCGGATCCCGTAGGAGCTCCTTCCTGCCAGATAGTGCTCCCTAACAACAGACAAAGCTTTCCTGCGTGGATTCCCGGGGAGAGAGTGGATCGAGGCGCTTCCGGATCCCCTTCCATGGTAAGGCCGGCCTGCGGGCTGCGGTGTCCGGGCAGAGGGCTGCCTGGGAGCCGGGGGCTGTTTGCTGCTCCGGGGTTCAGAAGCTGACACACAATACCTGGTGGGACAGACTAATCCCTGGAGCAGAAAACTTTCCCCGGAGCCTGGTTCCGTCGGAGCCTGGTTCTTGGTTCAGGAGCGTGGTTCTGCCTGGTTCCCCCGGAGCCTGGTTCTTGGTTCCGGAACCTGGTTCTGAATGAACCCAGGAATGAGTGTCGCTGACGGCGCAGCTTCATCCGACACAAAGGAAGTTAGCTTCAGCAGGCTAACGTCAGGACTTTGCGTTCCCGTTGCTGGGTGCAGACTAACTCCTGGTCTGTAGTGTTCCGGTCCAGATTCATGTTTCGGTCGGGTTTCCTCAGAGATGAGTTGCTTCCTTCCAGGAAGTAGCCGGTTCATGTACTCGGTGGGGTGTATTTCCTGGAGTCTAACAGCAGCAGCAGGATGTTTACCTGCGGCCAGGTAAACAGAGCCGGTTCCGGACTGAAACAGATAAGGGAAGAACCGGGTCCAGAACCTCCATCCCCGCTCAATACCTGAATCAGATTCCCTCACATCATCCAGGTCTGCGGAGACCCGGTTCCGATCCAGTCCAACACTCAGTCAGAAGCACCAACTGTGACCCACATCAGACTGGATCCGGACCGGTTCTGGTTCTTCTCTCTATCTACTGAGCTGAAAACACCTCCACTCCTCTCCTCAGTCCTCCATTAATGACTTCAGCTGGTTTATTCATTGTTTGTTTGGTTTTCTCAGATCCTCTGAAACACAGACATCAAAACATTTCTTCCATTTTTCTGAGCACAAATATCTGGAACCAGCAGAACCCGCCGCCACCCTTCATGGGCTTTGATTGCAGCTATTCAGAGACTGATCAGGGCCCAGTTACCCTGAAAACCAACTGGATGGTGGAGGGAGGCCACAGGGCTGGCACAGAGCAACCCAGACCGTCTGTCTGTTTGAATGTTTGATGGTTTGAATGTTTGCATCAGTCTGTCTCCATCCGTCCTGATCTGATTCTTGATCTCAAACAGGAAGTAGTTTTCTCTGAGGTCATTGCTGATGTGGTTCCTTCTGGGCGTTGGGGTTTGGAGGTCGGAGACGTTCTGCCTGTTCTTTTCCTGGTTCCAGGAGGTTCTGAAACCTGGAAGCATCAGCCCAGTTCTTCCCAGTCCTGGTCCAGTTCTGGTTCTGTTGAACTGGTTGCTTTGCTGTCTTGAACGCTGCTGAACTTTGTGAATCTTTTTTTGCTTGTTTTTTGCGCTCTGGCCTCCTTTCCTTGCTGTTGTGACAGTTTAGTGGTGCAGTTATCTAAAGCTTGTGTAAGTAGTTATTGGGGCTGAACGGACGGATTCACGCGGCACGTTTCTCTCCCAGAACGTGTTCGGCGAGGAGCTGGCCGACACGTCTGCCGGTTTTAAATTAGCTGTCTGACCCACTTTGGGCCTCTCGGCATTATGTCAGGCAGATAACGGCTGGGCGCCTCCAGCTGTGGCCGATGGACAAATCCAGGTTAGATCTTATCCGGCCAGGCGAGTGATGCTGCACCTGGGCTCATAATGCTGGGCGGAGATGTTTTCCCTGAATGTAGGTTAGGCCTCGTGTAAGGCGGCCCGCTCCCCTAATCCACAGATCACCACCATGATGGAGACGCTGGTCAACGCCAGGTCCACACGTGCCTCACCTGCAGGTCCCGTGCTGCGGATCAGAGCGAGGTGCTGCACTTCCTGTGGCGCCGGGTGGGGCGGGGGCGCTGGTGGGTATTTATGGGGCGGGAGGAGTGGAGCCGCCTCACAGCGCCGGTGTTTGTGTGAAGCAGGGTCCAGAGCGGCGGTCTGACTGCAGAGCGTAGCTGAACCCGGAGACGTGGCGGTGCGCCCCGCCGCAGAGATGGACGACCCGCAGGAGCAGCCGGTGAGTCGCAGCGCGGCTAACGCAGCGATAGCCTTCACATGGAGCTTTAATCTGAACACGTCTGGTTTTACTGTTTGGTGTTCAGCTTGAAATGCAGCCGGTGACACAAAGATTCATTCATGCTTTTATTCTGGAGATGTGATGAGACGATTTCCCATCTAAAGACGTAGAACTGGTTTAAAGTAGCTGGAAAACAATAAATAATCTGTTATTAATCTAACGAGCGTCACAATAAACGGTTTCTTTCCAACGCTGAAACTCGGCTTGTTTGGTTTGTTCAGGCGAAGAAGGCGAAGCTGGAGGCCGACGGGGAGCAGGAGTCAGAGCTCAGGTTGGATTATCATCATTTCTCCTCAGATTAGCAGATTAGCATTAATCTGTAACTCAGATGAAGGTTCTCTGCTCTCAGGAGTCTGAGTGCAGATGGGACTCCAGCTGCTGCTCTGGCTTCATCGGAGGAGGAAGGCTCCTTCTCTGCTCTGTCTGCGGCCCGGCTGGACCCAGGTGAGCAGAACCAGAACCTCCTTCCTTCCTGTTCTCCAGATGTTTTCTCTGAGCCTCCTGTCATTAGCATGTTGCTCCAGCGCGTAAAGACACCTGCATGTTTTTGTTGACCCTGCAGGTGAGCAGGATCAGCCGAGCGGCGCCAGAGGAGAATCGGACCGGCCGATCGGCGACACCGTCGACTCCTTCTCCCATCCAGGTACGGCCTCGGCGCTGAGGAAGCTCCTGTGTCAGGACCGGACTCACTCAGAACCTGTTCTGTCTTCCAGATGGTGACTCGGCCCAGTCCGACTACAGCCAGCAGGTCTACCAGGAGGCCAGGTGAGGTTCTGACAGAACCGACCGGTTCTGGGAGTTCATGCTAACATTTAGCAGTCACACCTTGGGGTTAGGAAGAATGAGTCTGCTGCTGTTTGTTTGGTCCTGTGATGCAGCAAAGGATTGTGGGATGTTAAACTGAAACAGTAGAGGTAGAGGTTATTGATCAGTTCATCCCGATATGATCAGTATAAATTTTGATCAGTCACATCTCTGCTCAGGTGGTTCTGGTCGAGTTCTGGTCGCAGCCGGGCCAGAGCGCCAGACTCGAGGGCCCCAGACTCGAGGGCCCCAAACTCGAGGGCCCCAGACTCGAGGGCCCCAGACTCGAGGGCCCCAGACTCGAGGGCCCCAGACTCGAGGGCGTCAGACTCGAGGGCCCCAAACTCGAGGGCGCCAGACTCGAGGGCGTCAGACTCGAGGGCGTCAGACTCGAGGGCCCCAGAATCGAGGGCCCCAGACTCCAGGGCCCCAGACTCGAGGGCGTCAGACTCGAGGGCGTCAGACTCGAGGGCCCCAGACTCGAGGGCGTCAGACTCGAGGGCCCCAGACTCGAGGGCGTCAGACTCGAGGGCGTCAGACTCGAGGGCGTCAGACTCGAGGGCGTCAGACTCGAGGGCGTCAGACTCGAGGGCCCCAGACTCGAGGGCCCCAGACTCGAGGGCGTCAGACTCGAGGGAGTCAGACTCGAGGGCGTCAGACTCGAGGGCCCCAGACTCGAGGGCGTCAGACTCGAGGGCCCCAGACTCGAGGGCCCCAGACTCCAGGGCGTCAGACTCGAGGGCCCCAAACTCGAGGGCCCCAGACTCGAGGGCATCAGACTCGAGGGCGTCAGACTCGAGGGCGTCAGACTCGAGGGCCCCAGACTCCAGGGCGTCAGACTCGAGGGCCCCAGACTCGAGGGCGTCAGACTCGAGGGCGTCAGACTCGAGGGCCCCAGACTCGAGGACGTCAGACTCGAGGGCCCCAGACTCGAGGGCCCCAGACTCGAGGGCCCCAGACTCGAGGGCGTCAGACTCGAGGGCCCCAGACTCCAGGGCCCCAGACTCCAGGGCCCCAGACTCCAGGGCGTCAGACTCGAGGGCGTCAGACTCGAGGGCGTCAGACTCGAGGGCCCCAGACTCCAGGGCCCCAGACTCGAGGGCGTCAGACTCGAGGGCGTCAGACTCGAGGGCGTCAGACTCGAGGGCCCCAGACTCCAGGGCCCCAGACTCGAGGGCCCCAGACTCGAGGGCCCCAGACTCGAGGGCGTCAGACTCGAGGGCGTCAGACTCGAGGGCCCCAGACTCGAGGGCCCCAGACTCGAGGGCCCCAGACTCGAGGGCCCCAGACTCGAGGGCGCCAGACTCGAGGGCCCCAGACTCCAGGGCCCCAGACTCCAGGGCGTCAGACTCGAGGGCCCCAGACTCGAGGGCCCCAGACTCCAGGGCCCCAGACTCGAGGGCGTCAGACTCGAGGGCGTCAGACTCCAGGGCCCCAGACTCGAGGGCCCCAGACTCCAGGGCCCCAGACTCGAGGGCGCCAGACTCGAGGGCCCCAGACTCCAGGGCCCCAGACTCGAGGGCCCCAGAATCGAGGGCCCCAGACTCGAGGGCCCCAGAATCGAGGGCCCCAGACTCCAGGGCCCCAGACTCCAGGGCCCCAGACTCGAGGGCCCCAGACTCCAGGGCCCCAGACTCGAGGGCGTCAGACTCGAGGGCGTCAGACTCGAGGGCCCCAGACTCGAGGGCGTCAGACTCGAGGGCGTCAGACTCGAGGGCGTCAGACTCGAGGGCCCCAGACTCCAGGGCCCCAGACTCCAGGGCCCAGACTCCAGGGCCCCAGACTCGAGGGCCCCAGACTCGAGGGCCCCAGACTCGAGGGTCCCAGACTCCAGGGCCCCAGACTCGAGGGCGTCAGACTCGAGGGCGTCAGACTCGAGGGCGTCAGACTCGAGGGCCCCAGACTCGAGGGTCCCAGACTCCAGGGCCCCAGACTCCAGGGCCCCAGACTCGAGGGCCCCAGACTCGAGGGCGTCAGACTCGAGGGCCCCAGACTCGAGGGTCCCAGACTCCAGGGCCCCAGACTCCAGGGCCCCAGACTCGAGGGCGTCAGACTCGAGGGCCCCAGACTCCAGGGCCCCAGACTCGAGGGCGCCAGACTCGAGGGCGTCAGACTCGAGGGCCCCAGACTCCAGGGCCCCAGACTCGAGGGCCCCAGACTCCAGGGCCCCAGACTCCAGGGCCCCAGACTCCAGGGCCCCAGACTCCAGGGCCCCAGACTCGAGGGCCCCAGACTCCAGGGCGTCAGACTCGAGGGCCCCAGACTCCAGGGCCCCAGACTCCAGGGCCCCAGACTCGAGGGCCCCAGACTCCAGGGCCCCAGACTCCAGGGCGTCAGACTCGAGGGCCCCAGACTCGAGGGCCCCAGAATCGAGGGCCCCAGACTCCAGGGCCCCAGACTCCAGGGCCCCAGACTCGAGGGCCCAGACTCCAGGGCCCCAGACTCCAGGGCCCCAGACTCCAGGGCCCCAGACTCCAGGGCCCAGAATCGAGGGCCCCAGACTCGAGGGCCCCAGACTCGAGGGCGCCCCCTTGAGGAGAAATGTGTAGTTTCACAGCTCCTGTCCAGGCTAGTTGCCATGGAAACCTCTCTCAGGTCCAGTTTGTCTCCTTCAGCCGGTTCTGACTGTGCTGTTCTCTGTGTTGCCATGGCGATGCTGCTCCAGCCCTGCAGTGACGTCCTTCAGCAGCCAGGTGGCGTTCCAGTCCGCCGTCTACTCCTCCTTCCCTCAGAGCGGTCAGACCTACGGCCTCCCGCCCTTCGGTTAGCTCCGCCCCTTTACCGCAGCGTCACTCTGCCTCTGCTGTGCTCTGACCCCGCCCCGCTGCGCCCCCTGCAGGTGCGCTGTGGCCAGGTGTGAAGACGGAGACAGGGCTGCCTGTGGCGCCCCCCGGTGGCCAGACAGGGTTCCTCAGCTTCAGCACAGGATACACCTCCACCCAGCCGGGCCAGCTGCACTACTCCTACCCCAGCCAAGGCGAGCTGCACACACACACACACACACACACACACACACACACAGACACACACACAGACACACACACACACACACACACACACACACACACACACACAGACACACACACAGACACACACACACACACACACACACACACACACACAGACACAGACACACACACACACAGACACAGACACACACACACACACAGGCTCTCTCCCTTTGATTTGTAACGATGCTGTTTCTGCCGTCAGCCTCCAGCTTCACCACGTCCAGCGTTTACTCCAGCATCCCCTCATCAACCACCGTCAGCAGCGCCACCACCGCCGCCACTGGACCACCGGTGAGGACAAAACAAGCTTCAGTCCAGAATCAGAATCCCTACAGAACATGGTTCTGGTTCTGTGGGACCAGAACCAGACATCCCATTAGAAAATGCTACTTCCAGTTAGCCTATCTGTCACAAAGCGAGTTAAAAATAAAATAAAGACTTAATAATTGATACCAAATGCCAGAGAAAATGTTTGCTAATGAGTCAAAGTTCATGTTGTCCAGATTATATTTCATTAAGAGTTAAATTAAACTTTGCATCTGAAAAACATTTTTCTAACGGAGACTCAAAGCAGCAAACAAACCAAACTTTCCTCTGGGTCAAAGGTCAATCATCGATTCATTCCAGGTTTCATCCACCAATCAGGGAACAGCATATTGATCATGTGATCAGTGTTATGGTGGGTTCTTTTCGATGTATTCCGTAACCAGGTTTTGGTGTCTGACCCGGTCCAGTCTCTCCAGTCAACCTCTTCCTCCTTCCTTCAGGAGTTCAGCAGCTACAGCTCACTGGGACAGAACCAGTTCTCCCAGTACTACCACCTTCCTCCCAACTACACGCCCACCGCACCGCCCTGCGCAGATGAGCACGGCCCCAGTACCGGTGCTGGTACCGGCGGGTATTCAGCGGTGAAGTCCGAAGAGGCCACCCCAGCCGGACCGCCCACAGGTGCTGGTTCTATTCATCTGGAGGTTTTGTAGTACTTCCTGACCCAGATGCTGCAGTCAGAACCATGGCTGTCTGGACCGGGCCGGATCAGGATCATCGATCTGTTCACTTGTTCTGCTGCAGATGCGTCACCACCTGAGAATCCGCCAGCAGGGGGCGCCAGAGATCAGGACGAGGTCGGCCACAGGAACTCTGTGGGAAAGTCCAAAGCCAAGGCCAAGAAGTCTGACGGCTCGCCGTCCGCCAGCAGTGACCTGGAGGTAAGCCCGACCCGCCCGCCCGCCGCGGCCCACCCGCCTGCCCGACCCGCCCGCCCGCCGCGGCTCGCACCTGCAGGAAGGGGGCAGAGCCTCATTGTTCAACTCTGCTGCTTCTAGCGCGTCTTCCTGTGGGACCTGGATGAGACCATCATCATCTTCCACTCTCTGCTCACCGGAACATATGCACAGAAGTTCGGCAAGGTGAGGTTCTGAACCGAATCCCTGGTTTCGGACCAGAACCAGAATTTGAACACGGTTCTGGTTGCTTAGGACCCGGCGACCATGCTGAACCTCGGCCTGCAGATGGAGGAGCTGATCTTCGAGCTGGCTGACACTCACCTGTTCTTCAACGACCTGGAGGTACAGTCCAATAGAACGTCAGATTACCAATCAGAACCTCAGATTACCAATCAGATTAGTTCTTGATGTAAACGATGTTTCTCCTGGTTTCCTCGAGGAATGTGATCAGGTCCATATCGAGGATGTGGCATCTGATGATAACGGCCAGGACCTGAGGTCGGTTCAGTCACTCACCCAGAAGCGTCGGCCCGGTTTCCCTCGTCTGAAGTCTCTCTGTGTTTTTCCTTCTCAGTAACTACAACTTCATGGCCGACGGCTTCAACGGTTCGAGCGGCGCCGGTGGAGCGGCGGGGGCCGCCACAGGGGTGCAGGGCGGGGTGGAGTGGATGCGGAAGCTGGCCTTCCGGTACCGGCGCCTAAAAGAGATCTACAGCAGCTACAAGGGAAACGTCGGGGGTGAGTTTGGACCGCAGAGCGGTTGGAGAGTTCATAAAACGCTGGAGACAAAACTCACCACCAAGAGTCTCAGAGCTCACAACGTCCTGACAGGAAGTCACTCAGGTTCAGAGAGGAAATGACAAACTGTGGTTGACCCGTTCCCAGTTGTGTTGACCCGTTCCCAGGTGTGTTGACCCGTTGCCAGTCTGACTCTGAACGTTTAGCCAGTTCGCGGCTCTGCAGGCCTGAGATGTTTGGTGAATAACTTTTATCGAGGGAAACATTCAGGGATTTTTCATCAGTCGATGTCACTCAGAGACTCTTCAGGATGTTTGTGAACCCGGGCCTGGAACCAGAATCTGGACCCTGTCGTCTCGCTGCAGGTCTCCTGAACCCCATAAAGAGGGAGCTGCTGCTGCGGCTGCAGTCTGAGATCGAGAGCGTCACAGAGTCGTGGCTCACCACCGCTCTCAAGTCCCTGCTGCTCATCCGGTCCAGGTCCGACCCGGATCCGCTCGACCCAGACCCGGTTCCGGTCTTCCCGTCCTCGCTCACGTTGTTTTCTGTTCTGCAGAGGGAAGTGCATGAACGTGTTGGTGACCACGACCCAGCTGGTCCCAGCGCTGGCCAAGGTTCTGCTGTACGGCCTGGGAGACGTCTTCCCCATCGAGAACATCTACAGCGCCACAAAGATCGGTGGGTATGACCCGGTCCAGACCCGGTCCACACCCGGTCCAGACCTGCCCAGCCTCACGGTCTCCTCTCCTCCCAGGGAAGGAAAGCTGCTTTGAGAGGATCGTCTCTCGCTTTGGGAAGAAGGTGACCTATGTGGTGATCGGAGACGGCCGAGACGAGGAGTTTGCAGCAAAACAGGTACGAGGTTCTGGAGACGTTCTGGGGACAATTTCCAGGTCCAGATGGTGATGGAAAAGGAACCAATTGTTTTTCATAAACCATTTGTCTCCCTCCAGCTGCTTTATTTAACCTTTGACCTCCAGTAAATCCATAGAAAACAGCAGCAGAACCTGCAGAACCTACAGAACCTGCAGAACCCACAGAACCTGCAGAACCTACAGAACCTGCAGAACCTACAGAACCTGCAGAACCCACAGAACCGCACATTCACATGAAACACATGGCAGTGATGGTGTGACTGGATTTCCTCCCTCTGCATCCACACCAACTACCTACAATATGATGTTGAACTGCAGCCCATGCATGTCGGACAGCTACTCAAATATTAATGCTGCCACAATGGCAGTGCTGTGTTGTATTAAACGAAGCCTCGACACATGAAGGAGTTAGCTAACGGAACGTCAAGGACGTCACCCAATGCATTTGGGTCATTTTGTTCCCGAGACAAAAAACAGCAAAAACTGATCATTCTGTCCAAAGCATGCAGAACAGCTGTATCCTCCAGGAGGCAGCTAGCAGCTAGCACACAGCGCTAACAGGAGGCCAGGATGTCATGTCTAAAACTAGCTTTGCTGTCACTGTAGCGCCATTAGCAGCTTAGCGCTTCGCTGTGCCTCGTTTCCATAGAGAAGGAAGTGACCCTCAATCAGACCAAGTCTTTCAGAAAATCCCTCCTGATATCCTGGAGGAGGTTCCTGAAACACTCAGGCCTCCAAAAGCGGACTTTCCCCTCTGGTGTGGGAACATCCCGAGAAAGCGACAGAACCAGAAGAGGCTCTGCGGCCTCTGAGCGTTAATCCACGCATTACTGAACGGTTCGACTCGCTGACCTGCATCCTCAGCACAACTGAACTTGGACTACAAAATCACCGCCAGGAACAAAGGGCGATTTGATTATCTGGAGGTCACGACCTTGTTCAGCGAGTGATGACGTCATAGACCAGAAAAGGTTGCAGGCAACAGAGAAACATGACCAGACTGACAAATATAACCCAGAATATTAAGAAATGTTTGCAGCACCAGCAGAGAACACAATGTTCACACTTAGACACTCAAAGTGCAAAAACAATATTTATGGGCTAAAACGGTGGATTTTGTATGATATGTTCCTTTTAATGGCGCCAGCTTACAGTGTAATTACCGGCACAGTTTCACTACTTCAACTATAATCCTGCCATAAACTTTACTATTGTCCTAGAAATTACTGCAGTAAACAATAGTATTCAATATAATAAAAATAATTAAATATATAAAATGTTAACTTCTTAAGAATATTTTATCCTGGAACTGGAAGATATTTTAATGAACAAACAAAACAACAATAATTGAAATGGATTTTCAGCATTGACAGGCAGGACATGCTAATGTCTGAGCTAACATGGCGTCTCCTCCTGCAGCACAACATGCCTTTCTGGAGGATCTCCACCCACGGCGACCTCGTCTCCCTCCACCAGGCGCTGGAGCTAGACTTTCTGTAGACGTCCTGCACCTGGCGGCCATGTTTGTGGGCGGAGTCTGAATGCGCCCCGCTCTCTGGCAGCTAAACTCACTGCCGCTCAGACTGACTCACGCTTCACTTCCCCCGTCTCCATCTGGACGTCTGCAGAGGACTTCCGGTTCTGGAGACATCGACCCCTTTGGTTCATTGTGTTTTAGTCTGGACCCAGAAAGTTCTGGTTCTGGACCGCTGTGCTCTGCGAACCGGTCCTGCATGCTCCGACCCGATCCAAACCGAGACGACGAACTCTTTAATCCCAAAGAACCGGAACAACAGCTGAAATCCCCGCGAAGGTCCGGATTCCCTCAATCAGAACATCACCATGCAAACCAGACCGGACCGAACCAGACGGGTTCGTCCTTCAGACGAACAGGAAGCGAAAGCGGAGCAAACGTTCTGATTGGGCCGCGAGGAATTTGGAGCCGGTGTGTTTGGTGACTCAGCGAATTTCTATCTGTGCCTTTCAGCGTCGCTCGTCTTTCAAAGTCTCATTTTTCTGTTTCCTGTTCTGAGTCTGTCCGTCTCTCTGTCCGTCTCTCTCTCTGTCCATCTCTCTGTCCGTCTCTCTCTCTGTCCGTCTCTCTGTCTGTCCGTCTCTCTCTGTCCGTCTCTCTCTCTGTCCGTCTCTCTCTCTGTCCGTCTCTCTCTGTCCGTCTCTCTGTGTCCGTCTCTCTCTCTGTCCGTCTCTCTCTCTGTCCGTCTCTCTCTCTGTCCGTCTCTCTCTGTCCGTCTCTCTGTCCGTCTCTCTCTCTGTCCGTCTCTCTCTCTGTCCATCTCTCTCTCTGTCCGTCTCTCTGTCCATCTCTCTGTCCGTCTCTCTCTCTGTCCGTCTCTCTCTGTCCGTCTCTCTGTGTCCGTCTCTCTCTCTGTCCGTCTCTCTCTCTGTCCGTCTCTCTCTGTCCGTCTCTCTGTGTCCGTCTCTCTCTCTGTCCGTCTCTCTCTCTGTCCGTCTCTCTCTCTGTCCGTCTCTCTCTGTCCGTCTCTCTCTCTGTCCGTCTCTCTCTCTGTCCGTCTCTCTCTCTGTCCATCTCTCTCTCTGTCCGTCTCTCTGTCCATCTCTCTGTCCGTCTCTCTCTCTGTCCGTCTCTCTCTGTCCGTCTCTCTGTGTCCGTCTCTCTCTCTGTCCGTCTCTCTCTCTGTCCGTCTCTCTCTGTCCGTCTCTCTCTGTCCGTCTCTCTCTCTGTCCGTCTCTCTCTCTGTCCGTCTCTCTCTCTGTCCGTCTCTCTCTGTCCGTCTCTCTCTCTGTCCGTCTCTCTCTCTGTCCGTCTCTCTCTCTGTCCGTCTCTCTCTCTGTCCGTCTCTCTGTCCATCTCTCTGTCCGTCTCTCTCTCTGTCCATCTCTCTGTCCGTCTCTCTCTGTGTCCATCTCTCTCTCTGTCCATCTCTCTCTGTGTCCGTCTCTCTCTCTGTCCGTCTCTCTCTCTGTCCATCTCTCTCTCTGTCCATCTCTCTGTCCGTCTCTCTCTCTGTCCATCTCTCTGTCCATCTCTCTCTCTGTCCATCTCTCTGTCCGTCTCTCTCTCTGTCCGTCTCTCTGTCCGGCGCCGACCCGAACGCGGCTCGGTTGAAGTCTCTCTGTATTTCGGTTCATCTCGCCAGACGCTCCAGGAGCGTCGCTCAGTTGCTGCGACAATCACGGCTCAAGTTACTGCTGCAAAACTGCAGCACGACTCGGCAGGAAATCACAACAGAACCTCCGGTTCTGGAGAACCTCCGGTTCTGGAGAACTTTGAGACACTCTGGTCAGAACCTGCAGGTTGAGAGGAAATCACCTGAAATCCATGGAAACCAGTTGGACCTCAGGCCCGGTTCATGCATCAGTTGAGAAGAAGCAGCGGTTCTGATGGACCTGCCGGTCCGTTTCCTCCTCAGCGTTTCTTTCTGTTCATCTCACTTCGGAGCCGAGCAAAACCGGGATGTGGTTCTGGAAACTCGGACCGCTCCGGTTCTGGAAACGTCCGGGACTGTAAATACATTTTAAACCTTTTGTGGCTCAAGTTTCTGATTTCTTCCTCATGCAGTTCATGGTGGTTCCGGTCCAAACTTCTGATCCAGGAGAGAAATTCACGCCTGGCGTGGATAAAAACCGTCCAACTGGTTTTATTGGTTCATTCTGGAGCAAAATACGGAACATAAAACCCAAAAACGGAGGCAAAATCTGGACCTGCATGTCCGCTCCAGATTTAGGTCCAGATTTAGATGTCTCAGTTGATCTAGGAAACTCCTGGAGAATCAATGAAAAGTGAAGAAAATGTAACAATTCCCACAGTTCCTGAACGCAGCACAGGTTCTGAAGAAATTTAGAGATTTCTACAAAAATCCTCAAACTGAATCATCAAAACCAGTCAGCCTGAATCGGAACGGTTGCTTGAGGTTCTACTGAGTCCAGGTGATGGTTCTGGTGGGTCGGACGTCCAGAACTCCCGGTTCTGATTCCTGCTGGCCCAGAGATTCTGAAGGATCCGTTTATCAGAAGAGATTAAATATTTGAATCTGGTTTATGAAACTTCTGTTTCAATCGGATCTGACTCCGATCCGTTTCTTATCCGTTTCCAGATTTTCTCTCCAATTTGGTTCTGATTTATTGAAGGAAATTCTCCTTTATGACTTACTATTTAAAGCTCAGTTAAATACTTCATTAATGGGTCAAAGGTCACCGGGACGGATGGTTTGCAATGAAAACATGGAACAGAATCAGATTATTAGTGCTGTGAATTTTGTCCTGTTTCCTGAAACATTTCATTCCAGCTGCCAGCAGGATCCAGACCGGAGTTTCCTCTGAGCCTGGATCAACATCAGCTCTGGATTATAATCCTAGAAAGAATATTTACATAATTACAACCAACAACTTCTAATCTCAAACAATCACGTGTTTCCATGGCAACACATGACCAGGTGACCTCAAGGAGAGAAAATGATTCAAACTATTAAACCAAACAAAAGCAAAACATTTCCTACATCAATCAGACAGGAAGTTGAGGATCGTCACCGGAGACACGATGATGCTCCAATTAACAGGCTTCTTCATTTTTACTGGTTTGTTGAAGCGTGACCTCTGACCCATGTAAACTCACTCGCACTGCAAACTCGCCTGATGCTAACACAAAGCTGAAGTAAAAATAAGTTTTCAGAAACCACTGAAATAAACACATTTTACACAAAAGAAAGATAATTATACATTTTCTCATTAAACACAACTTAAATCTTGTCCAAAACAAAATTAAACTGATATCACCATTGATATCAGTTTAATTTAGGATCCAAGATGGCGGCATTACGTTCCGCCATCTTGGATCCGACCGCATTTTCTCGTTTAGTTTTTCCAGCTCAACCAAACATTGTCTCAAACGACCACCAGAGGACGGCTGGGCCTGTGGACGAAAACTCGTCAATGAATTGAGTTGGTAAGGCGGGACGCCGTCTCCTCGTGACGTCACCAGCAGACGCTCTGAAGCGGACCAGACTGACAGCAGCAGCAACAGGAAGGGAACATGCATGACACGCAATACAGTCGTTAAAATAAGTATCAAAGTTAAGACAGTGAACAGTAACATGGAACTGAAATACATAAAACTTCCTCTTTCAAAGATAGTTTTTCAGTTGAAAACGATCTTTGCTGCCCGGCATCCAGCTGCCGAGATGCTGCAGGATTTTTGTTTTTCTACTTTCACACAGTTATGAAAACAGAAACAAGGCGTTTTTACACCTGGTATCATCGACACGATACCACCAGAAGACTTTAGATGTTCATGCAGAGCAGAGAGGAGGAAGCTGAAATGATCCGTCGATCATCACCTCAGATCTCTGGCAAACTAAATAATTGAGCTTCAAGTGTTGCCAGAACCGAACCGGAGTGTCATGAAAGCAGTTCGGTGGTGGAGACGATTATGAGAACGCTCCTCTTTCTTCAGTCAGAGGCTTCCTAATACTCACTGTAACACTGACCTCTACAGGAGATGCTTCCTGTCTGCACAACTCTGAAGAAAGTTGGTTTAATTTCCCTTTAGAGTAAATGTTGTAGATCAGGAGGTTTTGTCATGTTAACTCAAGTTCAGACATGACTGATGGAGCTGGATTCCACATGAAACCTGAGAACGGATCTCCTTCTCAGGTTTCACCTCCGGTTTGAAGTTCTGATTGGTTTAGTGTGTCGGCAGAGACAGGAAGAGACCAGAAGCATCAGAGTGAACCTCCTGCGGCCTGAAAGCCTCCAGTCTGACAGGTTGGATCAGGAGTGGGTGGAGTTTTTGCAGAAAGCTCACCTTTTGCAGTCTGTTGTTGTGATATTTCAGCTGCTGCGATGGCGGAGCTCAGGCCTCGTTTGTCTGTTGAGGAGCTTCCAGACGCCTGGCCTCCTTCCCCCGGTGAGGAGAGTCCAGACCAAGAGTCTTCCTCCCCTATTGGATGGAGTTTTATTAAGAGTTGCATGAGCAAACCCAAGAGCATTTGGTCATTTTTCCTCGACATGCTGGGTCTCGCATTGTTTGTTCTGGACATTGTTTTGGACTTCAAGACTCTGGTGACGTTTGGCGTGAACAGGGAGTACGGGCACCTGGCTGTCCTGCTGGTTCTGCTCGTAGGCTCGGCCGTGCTCACACACACTTTCAGCTGGCTCTGGTACAAGGATGACGAGTTTTCCATGATGACCAACCTGGAGAGGATCCTGTATCCCAACCTTGGATTTCTGCACATCTTCCATTTAGGAATCTACATCAGGTGGGTCCGATGGCAGCAGGACTGAGTTCCTGGGTCTTTCAGTCCAAAGCGGTTTTGTGCTTTCAGACAGAAATGTGTCAAGTTTCTGTCCTCACCTCAGTGTCTCCGTTCCAGGCATGCCGCCGTGGCAGCAGCTTCAATGGAAAACGTGCGCTTTCAGTCCGAGGAGCTGACCAAGATAATAAAGTACCGTAAACACGACCAGAGGATTCTGGGGATCTTTGAGGCGTACTCGGAGAGCGCTCCGCAGGTGGTCCTCATGCTCAGCATCGCCCTGAGTGACGATGGCTGGACACCGACTGTCCTCACAGGTCCAGATCCTCCTCAGGGCTTCGGGCCTTGAAGATGTTTCACTCATTTATTGTTCAAATTATTTCACTGAGCCACATTTCTAAAGCAATATCTGACTTTTATTGAATAGTTTTCAGTAAATGTTGTTACTTTTGTCAGTCTCATTTTTTCACTGACCTTCTTGCTCTGATGCCTACAGATTCTTGACTGCTGGGTTTTCGGTGTTATTAGCTTCATCTCCTTTCTGAACGTTTTCGTCTCTGTTTGTCCTCAGTGCGTAAGATCCTGGTCTCATTTGTGAGCATCATCTTCTCTGAGGCCAAGTACTACAAGTCAGTGGTCTCCTGCCTCGGTGACACCGACCCGTTCTGGTGCTGCTCTTGTGCGACGGTGATGCGCCTGGCGCTCTTCTTCCTCTGGCAGCTGCTCCTGGTGTTGAGTCGCCTGGTGGCCCTCGCCCTCTTCGCCTCCGTGGAGCCCTGCTACATCTTCACCCACTTCGTCTGCTCCTGGCTGCTGCTGTTCCTGGTTGCCTCCTACATGGAGACGGAGCAAGAAGACTCAGTGTTCAGGAAGTCTGTCGGTGAGAGCTGGCTGTTCCGAGGGACTGTGGCCCTCATCTGGTACTTCAGCTGGTTCAGTGGCGTGATGAAGAGGAGGACCAGCAAACTGATGCTGTTCTACCACCTCTATGTGCTGCTGGACATCTGCGTCCTCTGTGGGCTGTGGTACTGGGGCATTAGCTCAAATCCGCTCCACTTGGAGATCTCATCTTTGCACATTGCAGTCTTTGCCACAAGTGTGCCTGTTCTTTATTTCATTGGCTTGTTTTGGAAGGGGATTTATTTTTATGGCCTCCATCCAGATGTGGAGGGACAGAAGCTGGAAGAAGACAAGAAGAAGAAAGAGAAAGAAGAGAATGAGACGGATAAAATGTGTTTCTTCAAACAGTCAGCTAAGTGGACAGTTGTGAAGAAACAAAAAGAATTCTTCTCCTCTATGAAAATCATCTTCTATCTTTTCTATCTGCTGCCCGGTTTTAGTAAATGTTTTCAAAACCTTGAGCCTGATTCCAGCGAAGCGTCTCGGAGCAACAGGAGGATGGAGGAACTGGCCAAGAGTTTCTACATGAGACCATCTGAGGACTCTCAGCAGGATTTCCACTGCAGGCGACTGATGAGAGGAAAGTTCACTTCTGACTCACGATGCAACTCTGGTGATGACCTCTGACCTGACGCTTCATAGCCACATAAAACCAGTTCCACAGTGGGCCGTCTCCCAGCAGCAGAACATTTCCAGAACCTGCTGCTGGTCCAGAACCTGCTGCTGGTCCAGAACCTGGAAATGTTCTGCTGCTGGTCCAGAACCTCCCGCTGGTCCAGAACCTGCTGCTGGTCCAGAACCTCCTGCTGGTCCAGAACCTGCTGCTGGTCCAGAACCTGCTGCTGGTCCAGAACCTCCTGCTGGTCCAGAACCTGCTGCTGGTCCAGAACCTCCTGCTGGTCCAGAACCTGCTGCTGGTCCAGAACCTCCTGCTGGTCCAGAACCTCCTGCTGGTCCAGAACCTGCTGCTGGTCCAGAACCTGCTGCTGGAGTTCTGACCAGAACCAGGAGGATCGGCACCACCTGGTTCTTCAGTTCTTCACTCAGAGACTTTAAACTGTTTCTAACTTATGAATCACTGAACGGATTAAAGATCTTTAGCTGCTGCTGGATCAACCTGCTGGTTCTGGTTCTGATGCAGGAAAGAATAAACCTCCAGAAAACTGAAAAACAGCTGAAACACTGAGTTAATTTAAATCCAGACTAAAACCAGCTGATTAGAGAAGATTTTGAAACATAATAAATGAAACATTTAACGAAGCCATTTGATTAAATGTTACTGTGTTTTATGACTTTGTATTTTTATGATGTAAAGCACTTTGAACTGCCTTAAATGTGCCATACAAATAAAGTTTGATTGATTGATTGATTGATTGATTGATTGATTATTGCTTTAGTCTCTGAGAAATCCTGAATATTTTTATTTCAGACGGTCCAACCTGAACTGTGTTCATCCGTCTGCAGGATTCTCTCACATCAGCATTTAGAATCAACCTCTTCGTAACCGACTGTCATTAAATGGCTTTATGAATAAAAGTGATAATTATCACCACTCTGCTGGATAACTGGCCTCCATGAAGGATTCATGCCTGGAAGCTGCTGCACATTTCACTGACCTTTGGATGTTGAACAGGTTTTCAGAAAGGATCCATGATTAGTTGCAGCAAACTTTAATTCATAAATATTTATTAGATTAAAAAAACAATCCAATAAAAATAGTGGCGGCTGAGTAGTTTTTATAAATTTAAACAAGGTATTGTCACACAGCTGTGACCATGTTGTTTATACTGCAATGCATTCTGGGTAAATGACATGTGCTGTCATTCATCTTTACTGATCTTTACTTTCTGGCGGTAAAGAAGCACAGAGTTGGTTGAAATCAGTGGGAATCCCAATGAAGATGATGAGAAATAAACTCCTGTTGGTCAACAACTGACAGAAAATTGAATGTTTATTTATACAATTGTTTTTCTTTTATTGACTTCTGTATAAAAAGTTAAAAAATAATTAAAAAACATTTTCTTAATCCAATAATGTTGTGTTGCAGTTTGGTTATCGATTAATAACTCTTCCAGTAGAAATTTGCATTCATGTTTAGATTAAAATGATTCTAATTGATTCAGATCAGATTATTCAATGAAAACAACACAGATTTTAAACTTTTATTAATTCTCATTCTGCGGATCAAAGATGGCGGCTCTGCTGCTGACAGGGGGCTTCAGCGCCCCCGGTGGCAGTTCCGCACTCTCCATGCCGGTTCTGACTTGTGTTTTATTTTGAAAGGGATTCCAGGAAGAACCACAGAGTTGGGGTCCAGAACACCAGGACCGGGTTCTGACCTGGGTTCTCCAGGTCCTGTTGGTTCTCCAGATTCTGTTTCTGCTGATTTTCCAGGTTCTGGTTCTGTTGGTTCTCCAGGTTCTGTTGGTTCTTCAGGATCTGTTGGTTCTCTGGGTTCTGTTGGTTCTTCTGGTTCTGTTGGTTCTTTTTCTGTTGGTTCTCCAGGTTCTGTTGGTTCTCCAGGTTCTGTTGGTTCTCTAGGTTCTGTTGGTTCTTCTGGTTCTGTTGGTTCTCCAGGTTCTGTTGGTTCTTCTGTTTCTGTTGGTTCTCCAAGTTCTGTTGGTTCTCCTGGTTCTGTTGGTTCTTCTGGTTCTGTTGGTTCTTCTGGTTCTGTTGGTTCTCCAGGTTCTGTTGGTTCTGCAGGTTCTGTTGGTTCTTCAGGTTCTGTGGGTTCTTCTGGTTCTGTTGGTTCTCCAGGTTCTGTTGGTTCTGCAGGTTCTGGTTCTGTTGCTTCTCCAGGTTCTGTTGGTTCTGCATGTTCAGGTTCTGTTGGTTCTAAAGGTTCTGTTGGTTCTCCAGGTTCTGCAGGTTCAGTTGGTTCTTCAGGTTCTGTGGGTTCTTCTGGTTCTGTTGGTTCTCCAGGTTCTGTTGGTTCTGCAGATTCTGGTTCTGTTGGTTCTCCAGGTTCTGTTGGTTCTGCAGGTTCTGCAGGTTCAAGTTCTGTTGGTTCTCCAGGTTCTGTTGGTTCTCCAGGTTCTGTTGGTTCTCCAGGTTCTGTTGGTTCTCCTGGTCCTGTTGGTTCTCCTGGTTCTGTTGGTTCTAGTGGTTCTAGTTCTGTTGGTTCTCCAGGTTCTGTTGGTTCTTCAGGTTCTGTTGGTTCTCCAGGTTCTGTTGGTTCTTCTGGTTCTGTTGGTTCTCCTGGTTCTTTTGGTTCTCCGGGTTCCGGTTCTGTTGATTCTCCAGGTTCTGTTGGTTCTGCAGGTTCTGTTGGTTCTGCAGGTTCTGGTTCTGTTGGTTCTCCAGGTTCTGTTGGTTCTCCATGTTCAGTTGGTTCTTCACGTTCTGTGGGTTCTTCTGGTACTGTTGGTTCTCCTGGTCCTGTTGGTTCTGCAGGTTCTGTTGGTTCTCCAGGTTCTGTTGGTTCTCCAGGTTCTGTTGATTCTCCTGGTTCTCCAGGTTCTGTTGGTTCTCCATGTTCAGTTGGTTCTTCAGGTTCTGTGGGTTCTTCTGGTTCTGTTGGTTCTCCTGGTCCTGTTGGTTCTGCAGGTTCTGTTGGTTCTCCAGGTTGTGTTGGTTCTCCAGGTTCTGTTGATTCTCCTGGTTCTTCAGGTTCTGTTGGTTGTCCAGGTTCTGTTGGTTCTTCTGGTTCTGTTGGTTCTCCAGGTTCTGTTGGTTCTCCAGGTTCTGTTGGTTCTTCTGGTTCTGTTGGTTCTTCTGGTTCTGTTGGTTCTCCAGGTTCTGTTGGTTCTGCAGGTTCTGTTGGTTCTTCAGGTTCTGTGGGTTCTTCTGGTTCTGTTGGTTCTCCAGGTTCTGTTGGTTCTGCAGGTTCTGGTTCTGTTGCTTCTCCAGGTTCTGTTGGTTCTGCATGTTCAGGTTCTGTTGGTTCTGCAGGTTCTGTTGGTTCTCCAGGTTCTGCAGGTTCAGTTGGTTCTTCAGGTTCTGTGGGTTCTTCTGGTTCTGTTGGTTCTCCAGGTTCTGTTGGTTCTGCAGATTCTGGTTCTGTTGGTTCTCCAGGTTCTGTTGGTTCTGCAGGTTCTGCAGGTTCAAGTTCTGTTGGTTCTCCAGATTCTGTTGGTTCTCCAGGTTCTGTTGGTTCTTCTGTTTCTGTTGGTTCTCCAGGTTCTGTTGGTTCTCCAGGTTCTGTTGGTTCTCCTGGTCCTGTTGGTTCTCCTGGTTCTGTTGGTTCTAGTGGTTCTAGTTCTGTTGGTTCTCCAGGTTCTGTTGGTTCTTCAGGTTCTGTTGGTTCTCCAGGTTCTGTTGGTTCTTCTGGTTCTGTTGGTTCTCCTGGTTCTTTTGGTTCTCCGGGTTCCGGTTCTGTTGATTCTCCAGGTTCTGTTGGTTCTGCAGGTTCTGTTGGTTCTGCAGGTTCTGGTTCTGTTGGTTCTCCAGGTTCTGTTGGTTCTCCATGTTCAGTTGGTTCTTCACGTTCTGTGGGTTCTTCTGGTACTGTTGGTTCTCCTGGTCCTGTTGGTTCTGCAGGTTCTGTTGGTTCTCCAGGTTCTGTTGGTTCTCCAGGTTCTGTTGATTCTCCTGGTTCTCCAGGTTCTGTTGGTTCTCCATGTTCAGTTGGTTCTTCAGGTTCTGTGGGTTCTTCTGGTTCTGTTGCTTCTCCTGGTCCTGTTGGTTCTGCAGGTTCTGTTGGTTCTCCAGGTTGTGTTGGTTCTCCAGTTTCTGTTGGTTCTCCTGGTTCTCCTGGTCCTGTTGATTCTCCTGGTTCTTCAGGTTCTGTTGGTTCTCCAGGTTCTGTTGGTTCTCCAGGTTCTGTTGGTTCTTCTGGTTCTGTTGGTTCTCCTGGTTCTTTTGGTTCTCCGGGTTCCGGTTCTGTTGATTCTCCAGGTTCTGTTGGTTCTGCAGGTTCTGGTTCTGTTGGTTCTCCAGGTTCTGTTGGTTCTCCATGTTCAGTTGGTTCTTCAGGTTCTGTGGGTTCTTCTGGTTCTGTTGGTTCTCCAGGTTCTTTTGGTTCTGCAGGTTCAGGTTCTGTTGGCTCTCCAGGTTCTGTTGGTTCTTCAGGTTCTGTTGGTTCTCCGGGTTCTGTTGGTTCTCCAGGTTCTGTTGATTCTCCAGGTTCTGTGGGTTCTTCTGGTTCTGTTGGTTCAGCTGGTTCTTTTGGTTCTTCTGGTTCTGTTGGTTCTTCTGGTTCTGTTGGTTCTCCTGGTTCTGTTGGTTCTGCAGGTTCTGTTGGTTCTCCAGGTTCTGTTGGTTCTCCAGGTTCTGTTGGTTCTCCAGGTTCTGTTGATTCTCCTGGTTCTTCAGGTTCTGTTGGTTGTCCAGGTTCTGTTGGTTCTTCTGGTTCTGTTGGTTCAGCTGGTTCTTTTGGTTCTTCTGGTTCTGTTGGTTCTGCAGGTTCTTCTGGTTCTGTTGGTTCTCCAGGTTCTGTTGGTTCTTCTGGTTCTGTTGGTTCTGCAGGTTCTGGTTCTGTTGGTTCTCCTGGTTCTGTTGGTTCTTCTGGCTCTGTTGGTTCTCCAGGTTGTGTTTGTTCTCTGGGTTCTGGTTCTGTTGGTTCTGCAGGTTCTGGTTCTGTTGGTTCTCCTGGTTCTATTGGTTCTCCAGGTTCTGTTGATTTTTCTGGTTCTGTTGGTTCTCCAGGTTCTGTTGGTTCTCCAGGTTCTGTTGGTTCTTCTGGTTCTGTTGGTTCTCCAGGTTCTGGTTCTGTTGGTTCTCCATGTTCTGTTGGTTCTCCAGGTTCTGTTGGTTCTCCAGGTTCTTTTGGTTCTGCAGGTTCTGTTGGTTCTCCAGGTTCTGTTGGTTCTTCTGGTTCTTTTGGTTCTTCTGGTTCTGTTGGTTCTCCAGGTTGTGTTGGTTCTCTGGGTTCTGGTTCTGCTGGTTCTGGTTCTGTTAGTTCTCCTGGTTCTATTGGTTCTGTTGATTTTCCTGGTTCTGTTGGTTCGCCAGGTTCTGTTGGTTCCCCAGGTTCTGTCGGTTCTCCAGGTTCTGTTGGTTCTCCAGGTTCTGTTGGTTCTCCAGGTTCTGTTGGTTCTGTTGGTTCTCCAGGTTCTGTTGGTTCTCCGGGTTCTGTTGGTTCTCCTGGTTCTGTTGGTTCTTCTGGTTCTGTTGGTTCTGCAGGTTCTGTTGGTTCTCCAGGTTCTGTTGGTTTTCCAGGTCCTGTTGGTTCTGCAGGTTCTGTTGGTTCTTCTGGTTCTGTTGGTTCTCCAGGTTCTGTTGGTTCTCCAGGTTCTGTTGGTTCTTCTGGTTCTGTTGGTTCTGCAGGTTCTTCTGGTTCTGTTGGCTCTCCAGGTTCTGTTGGTTCTTCTGGTTCTGTTGGTTCTGCAGGTTCTGGTTCTGTTGGTTCTCCTGGTTCTATTGGTTCTCCAGGTTCTGTTGATTCTCCTGGTTCTGTTGGTTCTTCTGGCTCTGTTGGTTCTCCAGGTTCTGTTGATTCTCCTGGTTCTGTTGGTTCTGCAGGTTCTTCTGGTTCTGTTGGCTCTCCAGGTTCTGTTGGTTCTTCTGGTTCTGTTGGTTCTGCAGGTTCTGGTTCTGTTGGTTCTCCTGGTTCTATTGGTTCTCCAGGTTCTGTTGATTCTCCTGGTTCTGTTGGTTCTTCTGGCTCTGTTGGTTCTCCAGGTTGTGTTTGTTCTCTGGGTTCTGGTTCTGCAGGTTCTGGTTCTGTTGGTTCTCCTGGTTCTATTGGTTCTCCAGGTTCTGTTGATTTTTCTGGTTCTGTTGGTTCTCCAGGTTCTGTTGGTTCTCCAGGTTCTGTTGGTTCTCCAGGTTCTGTTGGTTCTTGTGGTTCTGCTGGTTCTCCAGGTTCTGGTTCTGTTGTTTCTCCAGGTTCTGTTGGTTCTCCAGGTTCTGTTGGTTCTCCAGGTTCTGTTGGTTCTGCAGGTTCTGTTGGTTCTCCAGGTTCTGTTGGTTCTTCTGGTTCTTTTGGTTCTTCTGGTTCTGTTGGTTCTCCAGGTTGTGTTGGTTCTCTGGGTTCTGGTTCTGCTGGTTCTGCAGGTTCTGGTTCTGTTAGTTCTCCTGGTTCTATTGGTTCTGTTGATTTTCCTGGTTCTGTTGGTTCTCCAGGTTCTGTTGGTTCTCCAGGTTCTGTTGGTTCTCCAGGTTCTGTTGGTTCCCCAGGTTCTGTCGGTTCTCCAGGTTCTGTTGGTTCTCCAGGTTCTGTTGGTTCTCCGGGTTCTGTTGGTTCTCCTGGTTCTGTTGGTTCTTCTGGTTCTGTTGGTTCTGCAGGTTCTGTTGGTTCTCCAGGTTCTGTTGGTTCTCCAGGTTCTGTTGGTTCTCCAGGTTCTGTTGGTTCTTCTGGTTCTGTTGGTTCTGCAGGTTCCGTTGGTTCTCCAGGTTTTGTTGGTTCTTCTGGTTCTGTTGGTTCTGCAGGTTCTTCTGGTTCTGTTGGCTCTCCAGGTTCTGTTGGTTCTTCTGGTTCTGTTGGTTCTGCAGGTTCTGGTTCTGTTGGTTCTATTGGTTCTCCAGGTTCTGTTGATTCTCCTGGTTCTGTTGGTTCTTCTGGCTCTGTTGGTTCTCCAGGTTGTGTTTGTTCTCTGGGTTCTGGTTCTGTTGGTTCTGCAGGTTCTGGTTCTGTTGGTTCTCCTGGTTCTATTGGTTCTCCAGGTTCTGTTGATTCTCCTGGTTCTGTTGGTTCTGCAGGTTCTGGTTCTGTTGGTTCTCCTGGTTCTATTGGTTCTCCAGGTTCTGTTGATTCTCCTGGTTCTGTTGGTTCTTCTGGCTCTGTTGGTTCTCCAGGTTGTGTTTGTTCTCTGGGTTCTGGTTCTGCAGGTTCTGGTTCTGTTGGTTCTCCAGGTTCTGTTGGTTCTCCAGGTTCTGTTGGTTCTCCAGGTTCTGGTTCTGTTGGTTCTCCAGGTTCTGTTGGTTCTTCTGGTTCTGTTGGTTCTCCAGGTTCTGGTTCTGTTGGTTCTCCAGGTTCTGGTTCTGTTGGTTCTCCAGGTTCTTTTGGTTCTTCTGGTTCTTTTGGTTCTTCTGGTTCTGTTGGTTCTCCAGGTTGTGTTGGTTCTCTGGGTTCTGGTTCTGCTGGTTCTGCAGGTTCTGGTTCTGTTAGTTCTCCTGGTTCTGTTGGTTCTCCAGGTTCTGTTGGTTCTCCAGGTTCTGTTGGTTCTTGTGGTTCTGCTGGTTCTCCAGGTTCTGGTTCTGTTGGTTCTCCAGGTTCTGTTGGTTCTCCAGGTTCTGTTGGTTCTCCAGGTTCTGTTGGTTCTCCAGGTTCTGTTGGTTCCCCAGGTTCTGTCGGTTCTCCAGGTTCTGTTGGTTCTTGTGGTTCTGCTGGTTCTCCAGGTTCTGGTTCTGTTGGTTCTCCAGGTTCTGTTGGTTCTCCAGGTTCTGTTGGTTCTCCTGGTTCTTGTTCTCCATGTTCTTGTCCAGGTTCTCCTGGTTCAGTTTTTTCTGGTTCTTCTCCCGGTTGCCCCGGTTCTGCCAGTCCCGGTCCCTCCGGAGCTCTCGGCCGGCCCGCAGTCGGCCTGCAGCCGCAGGTTCCCAGCTGGATGATGTTGCGGATCAGCTCGGCGCTGGGGAAGTCCATGCTGATGACGCCCAGGCAGCCGGCGCCGGCGCCGTGCCTGCGGCGGCGGACCAGGTCGCTGAGCTGGCGGTTGACGGATCGGGCCAGCACCTTGGGCCTCTGCAGCGCGGCGGCGGCGGTTTGGGTCAGCAGGATGTAATGGCCGCAGAGATGCCACCGGACATGTCTCAGTTTCTCCTCTATGTCTTTCAGCTGGTTGGACTCAAAGAGATAGGAACGGTGGTTCTCCGTTCCCACGGGGAACTTCCTGTTCTGCAGAAAGACGATCTTCCCTCGGACCTGTCCCAGTTCTGGTACCGACACCTTCCTCCAGATTCTGCCCTCAAACCTCTGCAGCTGCTGTTCCACCATCCGCGCCGCTCTGTCTTGGTACAGGCCGTGTAGCGTCACCTTCATCAGCACCGCCTCGCCCCTGTTCTTGTCCAGGAACGCCAGAACCTTCTCCATCACCGCGGTAAAGGTGACGCCCTGGGAGAAGAGCCAGTTGGCGTCTCGGATGCCGACCTCCTTGTCGGTGGGAAACCAGATCCCAGCGTGGATGTCCAGATAGCGGATCCCGACGTTCAGCTGCTTTTCCAGAGTCCAAACCTGAGTCACCGCGAACGGCCCTCCGCTCAGCGTCAGGCTCTCGTGGGTTCCAGGAACCGCGATGGCGGAGACTGGAGTCGCATCAGGGATGGACGCCATCCACTTCCTGTTGAGGAGCCCAGAGTCCAGGTCCGACTTGTCATTGAAACCGACCCCTGTGTAAACACAGGAGGGCAATCTGGAGGAGGAAATGGTCGGAAGATGGTTACTGCCACAAGTCAAGAGCTTACATTTCCTATGTGAGAGCAACATTTTATCTCTCAAAACTTGGAATGATTTTTGGCATTAAAGTTCCCCTATAGCTGCTGTGAACTCGGTCTGGAAGGTAAGATGAAGATGAAGACTTACAGGGAGAAGAGCCAGAGGTAGAGCCAGAGGTAGAGCAGGATCTCCATGCTGGTTTCTGAGGTTAAACCGTTAAAGTCAGGATTTTCCGGGTTCGTCTTCTCGATGTCCTCACATTGTGCTGGCAGCGGTGACTAGGGACTCAACCGTCTCACAAGGTAATTGTCTACTGAGCCAGGAGCCGCTCTGGGAGATAAACCAACATTTGCATGATTTACTCTAATCTAGTCTAGGACAGAGATGGACGTCCTAAAGGGACGGCTCCGTTTGGATAGTAAAATGTGTCTCACCGGCTGGAGACAGGTGGACTCAGATCTGACGCTAGAATACCCAGGATAGACGACAAGCTGGTCCCACTGGCTGGTCTGTTGTGTTAGATTCCTCCATCCTGGTCCAACATGTCCAGAGGACATTGTCCCGGTCGTCTCGTCCTCCATCAGATGCAGCTCTGCTAAACATTGATTCTTGTTTTTGGAGAAAAGAGTCTCACTTTCGACCCTTCCAAGCAGCCATACTGATTCAGGGTCACAACCTTTAACCTGCTACTTGAGGTCTGCAGAGTCTGACTTCCTAAAGTTTGAAGTTGATGAATGTTCAGTAACGTTGTTTGAGATGAATTACAGCATCAGAAGTAAAACTTGTCATGTTTTGGTTTCGGGTCAAGCGGAGGGTTCGGGTCTGGACTAACGAACGATTCCTTTTGACGGTTCAAGTTTTCTTGAAGACAAGCAGAAACACGAACAGGAGAAAAAACTGAAAATCAGACATAATGTTGACGGATATTTGGGGAACAAATACATTTTGGTATGTTTTGGATTCTATATACGCAAAAACTCAGTTTAATACAATTAAAAACAGTTATTTATGAAAACTTTGACCAAAATGGAGCTTCTTTAGTGTCAGGACTATTTGTGAACATGATCTGATGTTTAGATTTGATCAACAGTCTAACGAAGTTGGAGGTCAACAGTCAAACTTTATGTGTTTATGGGAACTACAAAACCATTCTTATTATATAAATGCTAATAATCCACATTTTAATTGTATTTATTCTCTAGATGTCATGGTGGTGTATTTCTATATGTTTTTGGCCCCAGTTTGGCTCCAGTTTGGTTCCAGTTTGGCTCCAGTTTGGTTCCAGTTTGGCTCCAGTTTGGCTCCAGTTTGGTTCCAGTTTGGTTCCAGTTTGGCTCCAGTTTGGTTCCAGTTTGGCTCCAGTTTGGCCCCAGTTTGGTTCCAGTTTGGTTCCAGTTTGGCTCCAGTTTGGCCCCAGCTTGGCCCCAGTTTGGTTCCAGTTTGGTTCCAGTTTAGCCCCAGTTTGGTTCCAGTTTGGTTCCAGCTTGGCCCAGTTTGGTTCCAGCTTGGCTCCAGTTTGGTTCCAGTTTGGCTCCAGTTTGGTTCCAGTTTGGCCCCAGTTTGGTTCCAGTTTGGTTCCAGTTTGGTTCCAGTTTGGTTCCAGTTTGGCTCCAGTTTGGCCCCAGTTTGGTTCCAGCTTGGCTCCAGTTTGGCTCCAGTTTGGCCCCAGTTTGGTTCCGGTTTGGTTCCAGTTTGGCCCCAGTTTGGTTCCAGTTTGGCTCCAGTTTGGCCCCAGTTTGGTTCCAGCTTGGTTCCAGTTTGGTTCCAGTTTAGCTCCAGTTTGGTTCCAGTTTAGCCCCAGTTTGGTTCCGGTTTGGCCCCAGCTTGGCCCCAGTTTGGTTCCAGTTTGGTTCCAGTTTGGCCCCAGTTTGGTTCCAGTTTGGTTCCAGCTTGGCCCCAGTTTGGTTCCAGCTTGGCTCCAGTTTGGTTCCAGTTTGGCTCCAGTTTGGTTCCAGTTTGGCCCCAGTTTGGTTCCAGTTTGGTTCCAGTTTGGTTCCAGTTTGGTTGCAGTTTGGCTCCAGTTTGGCCCCAGTTTGGTTCCAGCTTGGCTCCAGTTTGGCTCCAGTTTGGCCCCAGTTTGGTTCCGGTTTGGTTCCAGTTTGGCCCCAGTTTGGTTCCAGTTTGGCTCCAGTTTGGCCCCAGTTTGGTTCCAGCTTGGTTCCAGTTTGGTTCCAGTTTAGCTCCAGTTTGGTTCCAGTTTAGCCCCAGTTTGGTTCCAGCTTGGTTCCAGTTTGGTTCCAGTTTAGCTCCAGTTTGGTTCCAGTTTAGCCCCAGTTTGGTTCCGGTTTGGTTCCAGTTTGGCTCCAGTTTGGCCCCAGTTTGGTTCCAGCTTGGCCCCAGTTTGGTTCCAGCTTGGCCCCAGTTTGGTTCCAGCTTGGCTCCAGTTTGGTTCCAGTTTGGTTCCAGTTTGGTTCCAGTTTGGCTCCAGTTTGGCTCCAGTTTGGTTCCAGCTTGGCTCCAGTTTGGTTCCAGTTTGGTTCCAGTTTGGTTCCAGTTTGGCTCCAGTTTGGCCCCAGTTTGGTTCCAGTTTGGCCCCAGTTTGGTTCCAGTTTGGCCCCAGTTTGGCCCCAGTTTGGTTCCAGTTTGGCTCCAGTTTGGCCCCAGTTTGGTTCCAGTTTGGTTCCAGTTTGGCTCCAGTTTGGCCCCAGTTTGGTTCCAGCTTGGCCCCAGTTTGGTTCCAGTTTGGCTCCAGTTTGGCCCCAGTTTGGTTCCAGTTTGGTTCCAGCTTGGCCCCAGTTTGGTTCCAGTTTGGCTCCAGTTTGGCTCCAGTTTGGCCCCAGCTTGGCCCCAGTTTGGCCCCAGCTTGGCCCCAGTTTGGCCCCAGTTTGGTACCAGCTTGGCTCCAGTTTGTCTCCAGTTTGGTTCCAATTTGGTTCCAGCTTGGCTCCAGTTTGGTTCCAGTTTGGTTGCAGTTTGGCTCCAGTTTGGCCCCAGTTTGGTTCCAGCTTGGCTCCAGTTTGGCTCCAGTTTGGCCCCAGTTTGGTTCCGGTTTGGTTCCAGTTTGGTTCCAGTTTAGCCCCAGTTTGGTTCCAGTTTGGTTCCAGTTTGGCTCCAGTTTGGCCCCAGCTTGGCCCCAGTTTGGCCCCAGCTTGGCCCCAGTTTGGCCCCAGTTTGGTACCAGCTTGGCTCCAGTTTGTCTCCAGTTTGGTTCCAATTTGGTTCCAGCTTGGCTCCAGTTTGGTTCCAGTTTGGTTGCAGTTTGGCTCCAGTTTGGCCCCAGTTTGGTTCCAGCTTGGCTCCAGTTTGGCTCCAGTTTGGCCCCAGTTTGGTTCCGGTTTGGTTCCAGTTTGGTTCCAGTTTGGTTCCAGTTTGGCTCCAGTTTGGTTCCAGCTTGGCTCCAGTTTGGTTCCAGTTTGGTTCCAGTTTGGTTCCAGTTTGGCTCCAGTTTGGCCCCAGTTTGGTTCCAGCTTGGCTCCAGTTTGGCTCCAGTTTGGCCCCAGTTTGGTTCCGGTTTGGTTCCAGTTTGGCCCCAGTTTGGTTCCAGTTTGGCCCCAGTTTGGCCCCAGTTTGGTTCCAGCTTGGCTCCAGTTTGGCTCCAGTTTGGCCCCAGTTTGGTTCCGGTTTGGTTCCAGTTTGGCCCCAGTTTGGTTCCAGCTTGGCCCCAGTTTGGTTCCAGTTTGGTTCCAGTTTAGCCCCAGTTTGGTTCCAGTTTGGTTCCAGTTTAGCCCCAGTTTGGTTCCAGTTTGGTTCCAGTTTGGCTCCAGTTTGGCCCCAGCTTGGCCCCAGTTTGGCCCCAGCTTGGCCCCAGTTTGGTACCAGCTTGGCTCCAGTTTGTCTCCAGTTTGGTTCCAATTTGGTTCCAGCTTGGCTCCAGTTTGGTTCCAGCTTGGTTCCAGTTTGGCTCCAGTTTGGCCCCAGTTTGGTTCCAGCTTGGCTCCAGTTTGGCTCCAGTTTGGCCCCAGTTTGGTTCCGGTTTGGTTCCAGTTTGGCCCCAGTTTGGTTCCAGTTTGGCCCCAGTTTGGCCCCAGTTTGGTTCCAGCTTGGCTCCAGTTTGGCTCCAGTTTGGCCCCAGTTTGGTTCCGGTTTGGTTCCAGTTTGGCCCCAGTTTGGCCCCAGTTTGGTTCCAGCTTGGCCCCAGTTTGGTTCCAGTTTGGTTCCAGTTTAGCCCCAGTTTGGTTCCAGTTTGGTTCCAGTTTAGCCCCAGTTTGGTTCCAGTTTGGTTCCAGTTTGGCTCCAGTTTGGCCCCAGCTTGGCCCCAGTTTGGCCCCAGCTTGGCCCCAGTTTGGCCCCAGTTTGGTACCAGCTTGGCTCCAGTTTGTCTCCAGTTTGGTTCCAATTTGGTTCCAGCTTGGCTCCAGTTTGGTTCCAGTTTGGTTGCAGTTTGGCTCCAGTTTGGCCCCAGTTTGGTTCCAGCTTGGTTCCAGTTTGGCTCCAGTTTGGCCCCAGTTTGGTTCCAGTTTGGTTCCAGTTTGGCTCCAGTTTGGCTCCAGTTTGGTTCCAGTTTGGCTCCAGTTTGGTTCCAGTTTGGTTCCAGTTTGGCTCCAGTTTGGTTCCAGCTTGGCTCCAGTTTGGTTCCAGTTTGGTTCCAGTTTGGTTCCAGTTTGGCTCCAGTTTGGCCCCAGTTTGGTTCCAGCTTGGCTCCAGTTTGGTTCCAGTTTGGCTCCAGTTTGGTTCCGGTTTGGTTCCAGTTTGGCCCCAGTTTGGTTCCAGTTTGGCTCCAGTTTGGCCCCAGTTTGGTTCCAGCTTGGTTCCAGTTTGGCTCCAGTTTGGCCCCAGTTTGGTTCCGGTTTGGTTCCAGTTTGGCCCCAGTTTGGTTCCAGCTTGGCCCCAGTTTGGTTCCAGTTTGGTTCCAGTTTAGCCCCAGTTTGGTTCCAGTTTGGTTCCAGTTTAGCCCCAGTTTGGTTCCAGTTTGGTTCCAGTTTGGCTACAGTTTGGCCCCAGCTTGGCCCCAGTTTGGCCCCAGTTTGGCCCGTTTGGCCCCAGTTTGGTACCAGCTTGGCTCCAGTTTGTCTCCAGTTTGGTTCCAATTTGGTTCCAGCTTGGCTCCAGTTTGGTTCCAGTTTGGTTGCAGTTTGGCTCCAGTTTGGCCCCAGTTTGGTTCCGGTTTGGTTCCAGTTTGGCCCCAGTTTGGTTCCAGTTTGGTTCCAGTTTGGTTCCAGTTTAGCTCCAGTTTGGTTCCAGTTTAGCCCCAGTTTGGTTCCGGTTTGGTTCCAGTTTGGCTCCAGTTTGGCCCCAGTTTGGTTCCAGCTTGGCC